GAAATCAACGCTCGCTTAACCTCACTTGTTTTTGCATAGAAATTTCTTTGTTTTCTCTCTGTTTTTACCTCCTTGGTCGAATTCTTCTCTCTCCTGTCTTCCTTACTAGATTCGACATTATTATCTTTTTTTCTCTCGTTGGCCGGTGTCTCTCTTTCCCCTCACTCTCACTATGCACGGATTCACTCCTCTTTTCACTCATTGTTTTGCTCTCTCATGTTCTTTTGTTCACCCAATTTTTGCAACCTCACTTGGTCCTCATAGACTTGTTTTGGTGTCAACGGAACTAGAGTGATAGTCCGTTGGTTGTGTGAAAGAGTACTTGTTGGTGAAGCCATCGTGCTGCACACGCCGGTCAAATTGCCATGGTCTTCCGAAAAGGAGATGCTCCACTTGCATTGGTACCGCGTCACACAATACTTCATCCTCATACTTACCAATTCGAAACGGTACTATAACCTGCTTTGTAACTCAAACTTCACCGCTATTATTCAACCATTGTAGCTTGTAGGGACGAGGGTGCTTAAGTGTTGAGCCCTAGCTTTTCAACCATGGAAGTATTAGCAATATTAGTACAACTATCGCCATCGATAATAACACTACATACCTTGTCTTTCACGTGGCAATGAGTGTGAAAGATGTTCTCCCGCTGTACTTCTTCTTCCTCTTCTTTAGTTTGCATGTGTAAGGCTCGACGTGCAACTAGCTCAAGCATCTCACCATGGTCTGCCCCGAACTCCTCTTCTCCTATGAGGGCATCCTCCAATGGTGGCATATCATCTAGATCATCTTCATCTTCCAAATCAATTTCTCCATTTTCCCGGATCACCATAACTAGCTTGTTTGGACATTGGCTAGCTATGTGTCGTCTTCCCTGACATTTGAAACATTTATTCTCACTAGAACGAGTAGAATTATGGGCTGTTTTACCTTGAAAGGCCGTGGTATTGGTGGTTGGTTTGTGCTCGGGTTTGGCCTTGAGGGTGGCCAGATTTTCTTCTTTCCTTGGGTAGTTCGGCCTCCAAGGTATTGCACTCGGATTTTGAGGGGCTGGTCTTGGTCGTATACCACTCCTCTTGAGTTGCCTCTCAACCTTGATTGCCATATGAACCAAATCCTCCAATTCCACATAATGGTGTATCTCGATTGTGTTAGCAATCTCTCGGTTTAAACCATTCAAAAATCTGGCCATTTTTGCCTCCCGATCCTCCTCTACATTGGCTCTAATCATCACTATCTCCATCTCTTTAAAATACTCATCAACGCTCTGGTTACCTTGATGGAGACCTTGTAGCTTGAGGTATAGATCTCGGTAGTAGTGACTTGGTACAAATCGTCGCCTCATCACCCTCTTCATCTCATCCCAAGTTTCAATAGATCGTTCTCCGTTTCGCCTCCTATTGGTGCAGACCTGGTCCCATTACACAATAGCATAGTCAGTAAATTCGATTGTAGCAAGTTTTACCTTCTTTAGTTCGGAGTAGTTGTGACAGTCAAAAACCAACTCCATCTTCTTTTCCAACTCAAGATATGCTTTCGGATCACTTTTTCCTTAAAACACAGGAATTTGCATCTTGATACTTCCCAAACGAATTCAAATTTATCACGGATTTTTTTTCTTTTTTTGACACTCAAGATTTAAGGGTTTCGAAACTAATGAAAACAAGCAAATTTTGGCCCGAAAAACAGGGTCGGCGGGTTACGCCCGGCTGAAGATTGTAAAGCTCGAAAAGAGCTTCGATTTGATATATTGTAGGCCCCGTAACAATCCCTAGATCAAAAGTTATAGCTGTTCTCGTGATTTTCCTTCTTTTCCTGACCTTTTTTTTTTTTTTTTAATCAGTTTTGTAAACTTAGTGGAATTCGAAATCAATCAATAGTAGTTGGACTCAAACTCAAACGAAAAGCTAGTTAACAATCGGATTTTTTTTTCTGAATTGAAAACCCTAACCCTAATGGGTGATTTTTGACTAAGAAAAGAAAACGCAATAAACGAGAAAAAGGATAGGAAAACCTGACGATCTTAGGCTTTGATACCAACTGATACGAACCACGCCAACAACGTGACGAAACCCGAAATTAAATATGGAACATGATTCAAGATCTTTTAAGATTGATGGAAACTGTGACCCGTTGCTTAGCAAAGCAAGAACCTTGGTATGGTGAAAACGCCACAAACGAGTATGGAAAATCCGTTTGATAAGTCAAGTTGAACGCCACAAGGAACCTTGATAAGTTCGGAAAAGTTTCTTCAAGAACTCAAGAAGAATATCTCACAATATGCATAAACATGAAAACTGTCTTTCATTATCTAAAATTTAGCCTTAAATAGCCGAAAATAACATTAAGAGTTTTTAAATTATAAGAGTCATAATCTACCCTTAATGAGGTAGACACGCCTAAAACAAGATAAATCTAAAACAAGATAACACGCCTAAAAGCAAATCTTAAGAAGGAATCCGAATTTGACTCCAACTCCTTCCTTCTAAACACGCCTATTATGAAATTTAAATGTTAAACTGAAACTTAAATCTAAAAAGATTGGATTATGACGAAATCAAATCTTGATCCGCCATCTTGATACCTCGTCACCGGACCAAACTGGGACTTGAATTGGATCGTGAGTATTCCTTGCATCCCTGATGTCCTCATCACATCCCACTGATGGTCTCCCGTTGGCCGCCTATGCTCCTCTTCGTTCTCCTCCCAAAACCCTCTAGCTCGGCGGCCGTGTCCCGAGCTAGCTCTACCGCCGTTAGCAGCCACCTCGGGATCGTGGTGAATGCCCCGGCGCGCTCCCTTGGGGTCCCCATCAAGGCTGGGCTCTCAGTCTGGGTGTCTAGCTCTTCCCCTAGGGACCTCCCTGGTCGGATCGGCTTGATTTTCCCAGCCCAGATCCGGCGGCCAAACAGGTCTCCGTCATCGCTCTCTTCCGTCCAGGCCCCGTCCAGCCACTGCCATCTCCTCGCACGGCCGACGTCTGACCTCCGGCCTCCGGACCTCCTTCCCGTGGCGGCGCGACCTTGTATGCGATTGGGTTGGTGCCAATCGGACCTCCCCGTCGCAGATCGCATGGGTTCAGGCCATTGCGGTTCGCATCTCGCTGGACCACTTCCCCGTGCTCAGGCGCGGCCTCCGGCGGAGCTGGTGGTCGACCCATGAGCTCTTCCAATCGGCGCAACACCTTGTGGACCCCGCCGATCTGAGTTTGCATCTCCTCTCTCAGACCTCCGGTTTCTTTCCGGATCTGCGGGATCTGCTCTAATGTCAAGGCCTGAACCTCTCTGACTCAGCTGGTTTGGGCGCCATGGATCGTTAGGCTCTGATACCAGTTTGTAAGAAACGTGGTAAATCACAACCAAACACACACAACACTGACACACACAGATGCACAGCGAGAAGAATTGAAAGGAATTAGGTGAGGTCTTATTGAATTAACCAGCAACTAAGCAACATAATACTAGATAAACCCGGAGATTTCGAGTACTCCGGAACTCCCAGCCACCGTCGGTGGTGAAAACAGTGACAATCGGTGAAAATCTCGACTAACTTGCCCTAAGCCTTTCCAGCCCCCAAAATACCCTGATTCCTCTTTGATTTTGCCACGTCACCCCCTCTAGCCACTTTCTGAAATCACTCCTTGGCCCCTTCCTGCCACTCTTACCCCTCCTAGTGTAAACATTCCGAAGTAAGGGCCTGACACTTTGCCATTAATTAATAGCATATTAATTAATTTCGAGCACCTAAAAACAAATTTCTAGTTAGTTATGTTTCTCCTTGTATGATCTGTAGGCGGATCTTGAGGAAGTTACTTCACTTTATCTGGATGCCAAGTCTTCAGCAAGGCTTCTTCAAGAGCAGCAGGAAAAATACATTTCTTGATAACCAAATGCCAGCTCCATTGAATTTCACTTTCAGGTCGAAATTTGAACTGATTTTCTTTTGCATGGCTGTTGCACAAATGCGTTTCTTTGGTGGATATTAGGTGAATACTATGTTGGTCAACTGCTAAATAGGTGCTTAGAAACGAGCAATGAGTTACTGTAAAAGGTTGTGAAAAGAAAAGGGGGGTGTTAATTGTACTAGCTTTTTTCTTGTTTGTTAGATTGTGTAACTTAAATGTTGGAAATTTCAAATGCGACTAAGGTAATTACTTTAATTTTTAGTGCCATTGCCAGGCAGTTTTGAGGGCAAGTTCATACGCTTCGCCCTGGCAGCAAAATGCATGTGCCATCTCCGATACAAATAGCTTTTGTATTCCACTTGCATCATCCACACATTTTCTTATTGTCTTATTGCTTGTTCTCGTCTATCATTGTCTTCTCTTTCTTTGGACACATTTGATACCAATTGGTTCATGCTACTCCCATATACACGTAGACAGGCTTACAAAGGGATGTTTCCGAAGCATTCCTTTCGATATTTGGAGGGTTATGGAAATCATAATCGGAAGGTATTATTAAATTTAAAGAAGTTAGCATGTCCTGAATGTAAGTTTAAATAATCCCGTGCCTGCTCAGTAATTCTATCATAAGGTGTAGAGTTTAAATTCCCCTGTCCCTAAGTTAAATAAATTAAGAAAAAAAAATGCTTTTAACAATCTTTCAAGTTAATGAGAGCATCATTCAATTCAGCTCAGACTTCCTTCTTTTCTCTCTCTGTGCACTCCTATTCCTCTCCCTTTACAAGACACGTGTGAATAATGTTAGAGCACCGATGGTGATAAGCACGTCGTATTAGTAGAATGTGAGTTTTGCAATAATGGGTCTATAGGTGAAGTGCACTTTCTATCAGCGATTGTATTTAGTACCGGTGGTGCACCATGTATTTTTCTGAAATGGAGAATGCGAGTTTTGCAGTAATGGGTCTATAGGTGGAGTGCACTTTCTATCAATGATAGTGTTTAGTATTGATGGTGCACATGTATTTTTTTCTGAATTTATCTCATTTCGACATTTTTGGTAACAAACGGCATTTGCTGTATACCAACCTTTTGCTTTCTGAAATTTTGGCAGCACTCTTCTCATATCATTCATACCTTTATAAAGAATAAAGATATTTATAAAGATATAGATATATAATTTAGTGCCTTAGTGCATACCAGAGTATATTGCTTGAGGAGGTTATAATGTCTAATTCTTGAGTTTCCTTTACGAGAACGAATCAGGATGTGTAGATGTCCAGTGTCAACCACCATAACAGATATAAAGTGCTTCAATTTTTATTTTATATATATATATATATATATATATATTTTTGAGCTGCATGACGACAGCTTGTATGCGTAACTATGGTGCAGTTAAGAATACGGGTTTGGTCGTTGTCGAAGTTACCAAAATAACCCTGTACCATGCCCTTTTGTCCGAGTTTTCTGTAAAGAGGAATGGAAGTGGATAGGAACAAGAAGCAAAAGGTCAAGGTGAAAAAAATAAAATAAAAAGGAAGGACTGGAGGTTTCTTTTTTTTTTTTTTTTTTTTTTTTTTTTTTTTTTTTTTGTAAAAAAAAAAAAATTTTAAAAAGAAGAGAGATCATGACTTCATATTGTTGTGTTTTAGTAGAAAAAGAAAACTTTTGTTCTATTACCTTTCTTAATTTTTAACATTATTTATTTTAAAATTATATCCTTATACAAATAAGAAAATGAGGCGTGAAATCAAAATGACTATTTGACACATACTATTTAGGGTTAATTTTGCCTTTTGAACAGTATAAAAGCGACAAAAATCCGTTGAATTATGTAATTTAATATATATGCCTCGAATTATTGGTTTTATTTTCACCTCATCATTTGATGTGGAAATGTTCAAAATAAATATTGTAAAATTTCTATTGCCTATATTGGATTAATTTTTGACTTTCCAAAAATTGGAATGTATGGTTTAAAAATGCCCCATTGACAAATGTTGCAAGTTAATGACATGTGGTTGCTGTGCTGCGCGTGGATCCCACTCCTACAGGGTGGTGGGATTGTGAAAGTTCTCCAATTCCAGTTTATTTCTGCTACTATATGAGGACCTTTGGTTAATTGGTTTCATTCATTCATTTTTTTAAAAATAATAATAATAATTATTATTATTATTAAAAGGACCTTTGGTGTTATGCGGTAGGATTAATCTTTTTTTGGCCACGTCTAGTAATTTTCATTCACGCACTTTCAGTATTTGAGAAATTCATCGCCAAAAAGGATAGAAACAGATAGAAGAATTGGAGCACATTTTTGAAGCGAAATTCTAAAATAAGGCAACGGTGCCTTACACCATTGGGTTCTATAAGAACGACATAGTAAGAGAGATAAAAGGATTGTAACGCTTGATATATTATGCCTAATATATTTGTCAATAGGGTAAAAGAAACTTCTTATGTAAAAATTAGGATATTTGACATCATGATTGCAACACAGTTTTTACATAACTTTTGAAATTCATTCCGTTGTGTTTATAAATTCTTTTTTGCACCATGACTATAATAATGAATTATTACACACTATATCATATCAAACACAAAAAGTTCATAATCTACAAAATATTTACAATGAATTCAATCTATTCAAGAACATTGCTATTGCGCAGTTGCAAACTTAACCTGGTATCAATCCCTCACGAATGTAGATGTATATAATTCAATACCATACAAAAATATTAGAAAAAAGCAATTGTTAAAACCATAAAAAATATCTTTAATGCAATTTACTCCAGCTTATTGCTATGGATCGTGGCATGGCAAAACTATGTTTTCAAGTAATTGACGTAGCATCACTAGTATCATTATTGCTTTAGCTCCCGTATGCTCAGCTCTCACTTGAATTTCTTTCTTTTTTTTTTTTTTTTTTTTTTTTTTTTTTTTTTTTTTTTTTTTTTATTAACACCAAACTTGCACTCGTGCACGAGCTAATCTGGGGGTTTCAACTGATCGCATATTTTCATAGGGGGAAAAGTGAAAACCAAATTTTTTTTTTTTACTGCTATATTTATGATTTTATACCATTTATTTTTGTTTATTAAAAAAGAGTAATCTTGTATCTTGGATATTCTAAAAAATATGACTGAATTTCAAACCCCTAACAAATTTGTATCTTTTCTACGTCAATACTCAATCGTTGATTTTGATATCTAAATGACGAATTTATCCTTTCTAACTAATAGATAAACTTTTAAAAAAACACTAATTAACAAATTACCCTATTGCAACTTAGGTTGAATTTTTCTTATAACGTTTTCATTGATTTTTTAAATATTACGTGTGATTCATGTTTTGTTATAAGATTATCTATATGCTGCAAAGATTAAATTTGTTAAGTCAAAATCAATTGTTGGCCCATAAAAGATACAAAATAGAAAATAAAACTCAAAGGTACAATCTTGACAACATCTAAAATACAGGGTTAGAGGTATAAAATAGAAAATAATCGTTCTTCAATTGATCAACTCGATTTACCTTGGACAAAAATTGTTACACTAACTAGATAATTTTTTAGTAATTACTATTATTATTAATTTTTTGGCAAACAAACTTAAAGTATCCTTATTGTAATTGCTCACCATATATCCGAGTTGTACACTGGCTCTTCTACCTTTTTTTTTTTTTTTTTTGCGATAAAAAAGTCATAAATATGTAAGTTAGGATTCATGAATTTATCCTAAGTGGCAGTTAGAGAGGCAATTTTCTTGGATTGCTTTTAACAGCAAAATTTAAATGGCTCTAAAATGTTGACCCACTTCTATTTTGAGTGGAAAATTCAGCACCACTCGATTGAATTTGTGCTCATGTCATAAGCAGGTGAAAGAAAGAGAACAACCTGTGGCATGTATAAACCTCTTAATTCCTATATTCACAAAAAAAAAAAAACAAAAAAAAACAAAAAAAAAAACAAAAAAAAAACAAAAAAAAACCTCTGAAATTGGCAAGTCCTATAGAGTGTTGAACACTTTGCTGCAAAAACAATCTTCATGACTGACATCATATATTGAAAATATGTCCCCCACAATAAAGGCTACTCTGGTCAATTGACAAACTCAAGCAACAGCAAAAACAACACAAAAGTGATTAAAAAAAATACAAAAATACAAAAGTGAAAGATGTCCCATCTCTAGTTGCTTTCAATAAACGACTTCCCATATATCAATATCTACTCCTAATCCAGTTAAACCAACCATAGAAAAGGACACTCACCCAACCAATAAGAAGCTTCAGAAACGGAAAAGAAAACCAAAAAGAAAAAAAGTCACTTATAAACACTTCCTTTAGACAAAGCCAAAGAAGTCTTGTGACTTGAAACTAATATTGATCAATGGCACCTATGAATGTAGTCCAAACACTCTCTCCGACATTGAGCATTAGAAATAGCCTTCATTCCCTCATTGCCCTTCTCATTACAATCCTAGTCATTGTCGTTGTTTACCTTAGCCAACATGGTGAACAACTGTTGGAAGATTGTGCCAAGTCTAAGAACTCCGAAAAATCCAATCTGAGGTGCGATTTGTTCTCGGGGAAATGGGTTTTCGACAACGAATCGTACCCTCTTTACAACGAGAGACAATGCACATTCATGTCGGATCAGTTGGCTTGTGAGAAATTTGGTAGGCAGGACTTGAGCTTCCGCAACTGGAGGTGGCAACCTCACCATTGTGACATTCCAAGGTCTGCCTCATGAATGATGCGTTTATATTTTTAGCTCATCTAGTACGAATTTGTCACACTTGTGTGATTTAATAATAAATTATCATATGTGATAGTGCGTAATTAGACCATAAATAAACTTATGTCGCGGTGTCTGCGTAACAATTTTTTTTTTTTTTTTTAATTATTCAATTGTTTCTTTCATGTTTTGTTGGTGGGGTGATTGATATAAAGCTCCTTATTTTTTTTGGATATTTTTTTTTAAAGGTATTTTGGAACGTGTGTTTTCCATGTCAATATAAGCTAGGTTCAATGCCACAGCGTTGCTAGAGGGATTAAGAAACAAGAGGCTTATGTTTGTTGGGGATTCTCTGAATAGAGGCATGTGGGTTTCCATGGTTTGCCTTGTTCACTCGGCTGTCCCTCCTGAGTTCAAAGCCATGCATTCCAATGGTTCCTTGAACGTCTTCAAGGCCACTGTGAGTCCACTCAAACCACCTATCATATCTTAACATAGTCCTCGGATGATAACATATATAGTAAAATGGTGCGTCGCGTGTGAGTGTATTTTCAGTGTTGCACCTTCAAACACGTAGAACAATTTGATTTGGGAAGGCTAAGAAACAAAAACAAACAAACGTCAACAAAAAACCTTCTTCTGGCTTCCCTACCCCGAAATGATTTGGGCTTGACACTGTTTGAGGCTTGTAAAGTCCAATCTGCGAGTGCAGTGAAACTAGACCATACCAAAAAATAGAACCAGTTCACAACTCGAAGACTTTTTTTTTTTTTTTTTTTTTTTTTTTTTTTTTAATTTTTTTAAAAAAAGTCACAAATGAAACAAGGGAGGAGGAGGTAAGTGGCATTATATTTTTTGGGAATAAAAATAAATGGAATAAATTTGAATAAATTTATAAATAGCAGTAGATTCAAGATTTATTGGTAAATCTTGAATTTATCCATGATCAAGTTTGGCAGATTCGAGATTTATCTGATAAATTTTGATTTTACCCCAATTATTGGTAAATCTTGAATTTATCCATTACAAAAACTCAATTATACACATTTTTATCAATATTTACTAATTTTTTATTTCCAGATTATTTAATAATGATTTAGTGAATAAGCTATAAAAAGGTTCAAATCTAGGTTATTAGAAATAATTTCTCATTAAAAAAAAAAAAGGAATTATTTGCGTAATCCTATTTCCCATCCTTTTGGAATTATAAGAGAAATACTTTTAGCTTTTGCAAAGTTAAGGATTGGCGTCATTGTAATTCTTAAGTGACTAAGTCAACATACATTTAATTAATAAGCATCTGAATCTCAAATCTTGACATATATTTGTCTGGTGCTAAATTTAACACACAATATAATATATATCAAATTCAGACTTGAAAATAGCATTTCCTTGAAATATAAAGTTGTTAATCAAATATTGGATGATGCCTTTCAAAAGATTTATAAAAGCATTTAAATTGTTCAAGTTTTATGTTCATTGGATCTAAATAAAATAACATAAAAGTCAAAAAAATATGCAGATTTAATAGTTAAAAAAAATCTGACTCACCGGTACGTCAGATATACCAGAAAATCTATCAAACTTATACTTATAAAGCATTCTAGGTTAAGGTATCCCGCAATTTGGATATCCTATAGACTATTCTGCAATTATATACACAACTTTAAACAACAAATGCAGCTAATGTTGATAAATCCAAATCAAGGAATACAATGCGTCAATTGAGTTCTACTGGGCACCGCTGCTGGTCGAGTCAAACTCTGATAATCCTGTCAGCCACCGCTTGCCAGAAAGGATTGTTAGAGTCCAAGCAATTGAAAAGCATGCTAGGCATTGGACTGATGCTGACATTTTGGTTTTTAATACCTACCTTTGGTGGAGATCAAAATCCCAAATGAAAGTTCTGTAAGTACCTATATATGTTCTTTATTAATTTGGTTAATTAATACAGTTTTTTTTTTTTTTTTTTTTTTATAGTAAGAATGGATATTGTATAGTCAATATTTTTTAATATTGAATTTGGTTAAAATCTCATTAAAATAAAAGTACTTAACACTGTAAATTTTGATAGAGATATAATAGTTCTTATTGGTAGGGTGTTTTTCATTTTCGTAATTTAACATTGTTACTAGAATTAAGAAACTTTTTAATTAAAATAGTTAGAACTACCCATTTGACTTTGCCTTAAATGTTTTTTTTTTTTTTTTTTATGTTCTTGGCAATGATCAAAACGGTTTTAAGGTGGGGATCACTTGAGAACTCAGATGGGAGAATCTAACATAGATTTATAAGTTTTCCACCCTAATACAGAATTTTCACTCTTTTTTTTTTCTTCTGGAATGAATTTTCATACTTAATACTACTACTAGAATTAAGAAACTTTTTAATTATGGTTAGAACTCCCCATTTGACTTTGCTTTAAACTTTCAATTGTTGTTTTATGTTTTTGGCAATGATTAAGGTGGGGATCATTTGAGAACTCAGATGGGATATATAAATATGTTAAGAGGTTACGCGTCTATGAGATGGCTTTGAAGACTTGGTCTGATTGGTTGGAAGTCCATGTTGACAGAAGCAAGACACAATTGTTCTTCGTTAGCATGTCGCCAATTCATGAAAGGTATGTAAGTATTAAATACAATTTTATCGTGTATAATTTGATCAATTAAACCAATTAAGTTCAGTCTAAATTGATTCTTGGACAATATATCTACTTCCTCTTTACTCTGTTTACACTCCATCTCACTTGCAAATTAATGTCTAATTTTGAAGTCTCAAAAATTTATTCCAGTGCGGACGCTTTTAATATACATTTATTTAGAAATAACTCTATCCAATAATAAATAACAATTCCATTTTTTTTTTCTTTCAAAACATTGCATAAAAGTCTCATTCTTGTATATTATAGAATGTATTATATATTTATATATGTTTTTCTATATTTAATTCCCAAGAACTCTTATTTATAAATTTATTAACTCACATCATTAAATTAAATAATTATTCTTCACAAAGTAGAGGAAAATAATTTTCCACTTAATTTCAAAAAAGAGCACAAGAATATCTTTATGTCGGCTCAAGAGTGATGTAGGATATTAAGGGTGTGTTCATTTCACAATTTAAGCCATAATTTGAGTTGTGTACGTGAGAGAAAAATATTATAGCAATAAAATTAAATTTAAATTTTTATGAAAGAAAACATTGTAGTAATAAAACTTGAGTTATGACTTGAGTTGTGAAATGAATAAGGTCTAAAATTTTAGAACCTTTCTCAATAAGTCGACTTATCGATAGAACTAGTTTATAACTGTTGAATCTGATCAACATCACATCATATTGAAAAAATATGCATAATAAATAGTTTTTAATGAATATCCAACGGTTGAAAAGTATAGTATTACCGATAGTTTATTTTCTCCAATCTTAATTGAAAAAGAAAAACTCATACGTCTGAAAATTGTTTGTTCATAGGGAGTTTTTTTTTGTAGGACTTTCTGTAGGGTTAGTTTCTGATCGTTAAATCTAGTTAAAATTACGTCAGATTGAAAAAAAATACAAAAAATATAGGTTTTAATATAGATTTAACAGCTAAAACATAATCTTTCAGTAGTCTATTTTTTTAGGACCTACAAAAAAACTCCCTTGTTCATACTTCATATCTACAAATAAAACACTTTGGGGTTGTTCTTTTGCAATAAAATTCAAAAAATGTTTGAACTTGAATTACAATTTTATTTAAATTCATGTTATTTTATAAAATTTGAGTTTGAACTCGAGTTTAAATTCGAGTTTGGAACTAAACTCGAGTTTAAATTTTCCCTTCAACTCGAGTTCATAAACTCGAACTTAAGTTAATGAACAAATTTTTTCTATTCTTAAAAATGCCATACATTTTTCCTTTTAATTCTAATTGAAATAATTTTTTTTTATTCATTCACAACGAAAAGATGAATAAAATCTCGCCCATATACCCTATTAAAATTTTTCATCACTATTAAATTTTTATTAAAATATTATATAAATACAAATTTAAGTTTTGACTTATCCAAACACAAACTCAAAAAGATTCTCAATTCAAATCATAACTCAAATATGCACATTTAAACATAAACTCAAGTTAACTTGAACTCAAATTATAACTCAAACTCAACTTATCATCATTACTCAAATTATCATAACTCAAAATGCAAAAAAAACAACCCCTTTATCTCCTAATCTTTAAAAAGTAAGATGGAATCCCTCCAACCTATGCTCTGTTAACAAAAATTGTCCTTCTGTTAGAATTCTTCACATAAAGTAACCTTTAATTGCAACATAGTTCTACATTTAAGGGTATTTAGTTTGAGATGAGTGCAGGTAATCAAATGACACTTTTTGGGAGGAAAAGAAAAAACCCACTTCTTCTTCGTTTGATCTCTTGCAACTCTTGGATTTTCTCTGAATATTTGAGTTCAAGTGTTCCACATTGATCCAATTAAACAACCAGCCAACCAAAATAACTTCTAAAAGATCAAGACTAGCTCCGGATTCAAGAAACTGAGAGGTTAAACGTGGAAATATATATATATATATATATATATATAGAGAGAGAGAGAGAGAGAGAGAGAGAGGAATATGTACAGAGATCAGTGTGCAGAGAAATTGATGGGAAGTTCAAACACAACCTCATCCCCAAACCCAATTGCTAAACAGATCTTTCGGCATCGAGAGGAGGAGGCGAAGCTGATTACTAGCATTAAGGGGATGGGGGATGAACGGAGATCCCTATGCCAGCATGGGAAGGAGATCTTGTGATGTCGGGTTAGGGAACTCGCGGTGTTGTCAGAGAGTGGAGGCGGAGTAGCTCGTGGCATTGGGGAGGGGAGTGAGTAGGCAATTTCGGCGGTGGCGGGTCAGAACTCGAGACATTTCGGTGATGGGAGGTGGAGAGCTGATAGTTTTTTTTTTTTTTTTTTTTTTTTTTTTTTTAATCACATTTAATGCAAATCATAAATACATGGGTAAAATAGTAATTGCAGACCTAATATCCTAGCAACGACACCTCTGACACGTGAAACTTATATTATTCAAACTAAAGAAGGATAATTTTTGTTATGGGAGCATAGGACGATTTTTATTAACCAAGTGTCTGTTCAGTTTGTTGATTTGAGTTTTTAATTAAGTTAAGATGTGATTTTATGTGAGAATTTTTTATTATAGTAAAAAAGTTAGATGTGATTGTTTCTGAGAGCTTTTTACTGTAGCAAAACTCGAATTCTAAACTCGAATCGGCGAAATGAACGGGGCCCAAGTGTAAATCATGGAATTCGATGTTACTTTTTAAAGATTTAAAAATAAAGTGTTACACATGTCATAATTCATTAATAATTGTTGTAATTAATCTTAAAACATTTCGAGTGGAGGCAGCCATGTGCCTCTGCTAGAATTAATGTAGCTTCGTCCATAAATTGAAGACTCAATTTACAAATGTTAAAAGTATCTTGGGGTTGATTAATTAAGATGGAATATAGTTTCTATAAGTGCAATTATCGTATGGGAAAATTCACATCGATACGTCGGACAACGATCAGGCCACACGTGGCCCTATGCCTACCACGTCAGTTAGCCCTCGACGCCTGAGCCTCATTGGCCTCTCCCATATGGCATGAGAGCCGAATGTATAAAGGGACCGAGACCGTCGACCTTATACATAGTCGAGGCCTGCGAGACCAGCTCGTGCAAAATAACGCGATAAAGTCGACCGTAAGAGAGGCTACCCTCGGTAGATTTTGGCATGGGCGCAGAGGGCAGAACGTGAGCAACTGGATCCACATCCCAAGGAAGACCCCTGAGGAGATCAGCTGAATATCCCAAGGTTGCGTCTGGGTTTGGAGAAGTTCAGTTGCACAGGAAATGATTACGAGCCCCTAAACCGCCTGAAACGGATCAATAAATGCTACAGAGGATCTACAGAGCCGTAATAGGGGGACAAATGGGATGAGTGAACAGTCCAAAAGGTGCTGACAGGCTACGGTCTAGGCAAATAAGACAATAGGCCACTCGAGTGAATGGGCCTCCTGAAAAAAGGCCCAATGGTCCAAACCGCCTGCCGTTGGGTAAGGCTCATGTAGTACAGGCTATAAAAGGGGGAAGAACCCCGAGAGAGAAAGGGAGATTATTTTTGTATTAAGTTATTCTTGTAAAAAACAAATCAAGAGATATACAATCCAGTGGACGTAGCTCTTGTTTTATAAGGGTGAACCACTATAAAACCTCTGTGTCGTTATTGTTTAGAGGATCATAACATTTACTTCATAGGACACCAATATACCCCTTTGCATATTTAGTTAAAAATACGAGTTTCAAACCGGTAACCCAACGGGCTACCGCAGGGTAATCCGATACGATATTGTTGACTAAAACTGACCGTCAACAGCAACAATACGTTAGGATTCACTAATCCTCCCCCGAAAACTGACCTTATTGTTTTGAGTGGACACCATAATATGAAGAGGCCTTTCAGAGGCTAAATAAGCACCTTGGCAGGCCTCTTATCCTATCAAAACCCATACTAGGCGAGAAGCAAACTTATACCTCTCCGTATCAAAACATGTTGTAAGCTCGGCACTGATTAAAGAAGAAGAGATCTAGTTACCGGTCTACTACGTAAGCAAGAGGCTCCTAGACGCCGAGTCAAGATATGCCCAGATGGAACAGTTAGCTCTCGCCTTAATGGTGGCCTCAAGGAAGCTTCAGCACTATTTTCAGGCCCACAACAGATCTTTCGGCATCGAGAGGAGGAGGCGAAGCTGATTACTAGCATTAAGGGGATGGGGGATGAACGGAGATCCCTATGCCAGCATGGGAAGGAGATCTTGTGATGTCGGGTTAGGGAACTCGCGGTGTTGTCAGAGAGTGGAGGCGGAGTAGCTCGTGGCATTGGGGAGGGGAGTGAGTAGGCAATTTCGGCGG